ACTGGAAATAAAAGGGCTGAAGGGCCAGGCAGCTTTTTTGACAGCAGCCACTGCTGTGCTGTGCAGATTGGATGCAGCAGGGAAAAACAATAAACCCACACCTGAATAARGCAGGGAATAGATTTTTCTCCGCTTCTTTGTTTATTTAGGTGGAGGAGGTTAAAGTGGCGTRCCTGAGTTGGTTTTTATTTCAAGCAAAATCTTCAGTGATGTTTTTTTAAGCGTGGCCAAGGTGCAGAAGGGGCAGATCACGGGCTGGGCTGCAGGGAGAGGTGACAGCGTGCACAGATTGATGTCATTTGTGTGAGCCTGAGACTTTCACATCTTAATTACTCATCCTGAGGTCTCGGTGATGATGCCAATTGATCCAAACCACCAGCAAAATGCCCTCTCCAGGGATAACACGGAGCAGGGAGGGAATGCTGCCTGGTGAAACATGAAGTGACTGCAGCACCTCGGTGAACTGAGCCTGAGTCAGCTCAGCTGAGCTGGAGCCCCACGGGACCCCACTGCTGCTGAGAGAGCCTCTTCCTCAGCAAAAAACCCCAAACCCACTGCTCCCCCTCGGCTGGTCTCCTCCAGACCTTCAGCCCGAGGATCAGATGGGAAAAATGCTCTGGAAACACTAAAAATCTGCTCCAGGGAGTTTGTGGCAGCTGCAACCTGCTCAGAGCCTTCAGCACCCGGCACTGGGGCTGTGYTTGAGCTCTGCTGGAAGAGAAATTCTGCCTGGGGAGAAATCTTGACCCCAAATCCCTGTTCATGGATTCCCCGTGGATCCACTCCCATGGCAGAAACACACCCTGGCACCCCCAGGGTTGGGTCACCATCATTAACTGGGGGGACATGGGCTCCTTTACACCCCTGTGTGGGTGGGGCAGCTGAATTTGCTCRAGGGAAAAGGGTTGGAAATGTTGGYAGGTCAAATATTTTTGGGAAAAGACAGGTTCAGCTTYCCTTTCACAAAGGAATTTATGAAAACTTGCCTAAAAAAAAAGGAGGTTTTTTTTCTCACTATCTAGATACTTTGATTCCTACCACTACCATCTCAAAGTTCCCTTCACCTTTATTTTTTTCCCTTAACATTTACGCTTGTAAATTCCCACAGATTCCTCAGCTCTACCACAAAACCCCTATTTTTAGCAGCAGAAATCTTATTCCTCCCTCCTGCAACAATTCCTTTTTTTTCGTTGATGGTAGGCAGAAATTGTTTTTCCAGCGAGCCAAAACTCCATAATTCACCCAGAAATTCTGGCTGCTGCAGAAGGAGCCCCATCTTCCCAGTGGATTAAGTTGTCTTGCACACCAAAGCAGCCAGTCCGGCCTCCTGCCAAACCCTATATTTACATTTCCAAACTAGAATCTGTTTCTAATACRTTTTTATGGGGAGTTTTGACCCTTTATATTTATTGTTAATGAGCTTTCATCTCTATAATAGCCTTTCATCCCAAAGGGATCCCGAAGAGTAATTGTAATAACCTGGCATAGAAAATATACACAGAAATCAATTTATCCACCCCTGAAATGTGGCCATGGTTGGAGCGGCTGAGAGGGAGGGTTTAGCTGAGCCCAGAGCACGAGTGACAGGGATGGGGACAGGGACAGGGATGAGGACAGGCACAGGGACAGGGATGGGGACAGGGACAGCTCGTGGCTCTGCTCCAGGTGAGCTGGGGCACCCCCAGCCCTGCAGGAGAAGGAATTTAGGGACTGTGAAGCTCGGGAATTTGGATTTTGGGGCTCCAAGGCCATGGGGAGCCACCCAGTATGGCTCCCCTGCAGCTCCAGCCCCTGCAGGTGTCACCTCTGCCTTCAGCAGGGACTGGGATCAGCTGGGATGGGCTGGAAGTGCTGCTGGCATGGACCCATTCAGCAAATCCTACACTAGAGCAGCCTCTGACAGGGAGTTGGGCCCTACAGCCCCATATCAGGGTGGCTCTGTAACCCCTGGAACTGTGAGGGGCTGACTCTGGTCCTTCCCCAGCCCTTGGGGCTGTAGGGACAGGGAGCAGTGGGGGATAATGTCACAGAAGCCTCCACAGGTGATTTATCCCAAAGCTGCTGCCTGTGTGGGGTCAGTGTTTGTTTGGGGCTGCTGTTTGCAGGTTCCCACTCGTGCTCAGGGCAGGGGAAGCCCCAGGGCTGCTGTTTGACCCGGGATGGAGGCAGCAGTGCAGAGCCAGCACAGGATCCTGCCTGGCAGCGGGATTGGGATTGGGATTGGGATTGGGATCAGGATTAGGCGATCCCACAGCGGCAGGACAGGCTGTGCCAGGGTGACCTGTGTTCCCTGCTGCTAAGAGGCTTTGCTATGTCCTCTCGCTCTGCTTTCCCCCATCCCCATCTGCCCRCTGCAGGACAAATCCTGCTCTAATCCACCCAGCTTTCCCCAGCGACAGCGCTTCAGCCCCGATGAACTGCACTTCCCACCTTCCTGTGCTTCCCAGGGATTATTTCCCACGAGGGAACAACCCACACTCTCTCACATGACTTGACATCCACCTTCCTGAGCAGAGTAACATTTTAAATCAAAAGGATTTTACCTCTTTTGCCCCTCAAAGGGCACCAGTGCAGGTGAGAAGGGGCACCCAACCCTGCTGGGCACTCCCCCAGTGCTCCCAGTGGGATCCCTGCAGAGCCCCTGCCACTGCTGGCATTTTAAAAAAGCAAAGGCCAGGGAGATGGAAGGAAAGAGCCTTTCCTTCCCCCAGCTCCTCCCGTAAGTAATTTTCCCTGGCCTATTTTACAGGAACTGAAAATCTATTAGAGGAATGGCTTAATCCGGTTTGACTGTAATAATTAGGGTGCTTTAAAAACCCCTGACTAATCGTATAAAATGTGATTGTGGACAGCTCAGTGCACGACCCTTACACTTATCACTGGAGGTATTATTACAGACCAGAAACAGCTGGCAAGCACGGGGGAGGATAAAGGGAATAAAGAATCACATGCAAAGGGACAGGGACTGTTCCTTTTCTGATCTCAGGGCAGYGCCTTGAGCTGTCTTTGGGATCCAAAGCACAAAGTCACCTCCAAGACCCCGCACAGACACAGCTGTTGCTGCCACTGTGCCCTGCCAGCCCTGTGGGCACCTCTTTTCCTCGCCCTGGTTTAGCAGGCAGTCCCAGAGGATTGGAGTCRGTGCTGGAGTGATTCCCCTCGGGCACTGCAGATGTTCAGAGAAGCTTCTCCAAAACAAGACAGTCTGGACTGGGCAAGGAGGACACAGTGGTTCAGGGTCACTGGGTTACAGCAGAAACGCAATTTGTGGAGGATTTTCTTCCATGCCCTGCCTGGTGCCAAGCTCCTTTCCTCTTGCTCTCCTTTTTCCTCAAGTTCCAGCAGCCACAGTTTCCCCTCCCCTTCCCTTCCCTTCCCTTCCCTTCCCTTCCCTTCCCTTCCCTTCCCTTCCCTTCCCTGGGCACAGCTGAGTTCCCCCCACGCCTTTGGTGGTTATTTTCCCCCACATGTTCTGCTGGTCGTTCCCCAGGATCGCTGCAGGTTCAGGATGCCCTGAGCTCGCTCCTGTGCTGCCACTCCAGTGGGGCACACAAGCAGACCAGGAACCATTCCTGCATCCTGACAACTCCTCCAGGCCCAGGGCCCCACAGTTGGGGGGTTCAAACTCTGCTGTGRGGTGCTCCACAGGGACTCCTGCTGAGGAGCTTGGAGCTGATGGACTTGGCCATCACAGAAAYGTTGGGRGAAGCTCAGGGARGGTTCTTGYTCYTCAGAGCACCCAGGRCTGAGCCYTCACCCTCACCCAGACACAGCTCAYRAAAACACCRCTCTCCAGAGCCCCTCAAGAGCCTCAGGCTGCACAGAGAGCTGACAGCCACAAGGAGCCTGGGCTATCACCAACACGCTCTTTAATCAGTGCTGAAAACTTATGATCAGCCTTGAAGGAGGCTTTTAAAGACTGAAATAATAAGATGATGCACTACAATTCCAATTTTCTCTCCGTTCCTGTGATCAAAATATGTGGTTGAATCTTGGAAGCTCAACTGCAGCCTGTACAGAAGCTGTAATAACAATATTCACAGGGATGGGGCTTGCAGCAGGAGTTGGGTTATTTGGTTTCTTTTGCTTTCCCCGACTCTTTCCCGGTTGTTTTTTTTTTTTCGTTCTACTCTATATAGATTTTGATCTTTCCCTTATTAAACAGGAATGGTTATCCCCACTGACTTGCTTATCTAATAATGGCTAGAACCCTTTAAATTCAAATGATTTGATTCCTGGGTTTTTCTGATTGAAGTAAACATGCAGTCAGAGTATTACTGGGAAAGTGGCAATAGAATTCCATGGTTAAATTATCCTGTGACTCAATCCTGCACAGCACTGGATCCTTTTTAATACATTTCACAAGTCCTCAGTGCTGACCTCTAACACCAGAGTGGTTTCTCTCCTGTGGTAGCTCAATTTCACAACTCTGAATACACTTTTTTTTTTCTTTAGGAAGGAGAGCTATCCGAAGGTTTTATAAAATGTTCTTTAGCCTTTGGGAATGAGTCAATTTAATGCCAGGCTATCATTCCATTTCAAAGAGCYGAAGGATTTGAGGCAACACAATCTGCTTTCTGAAGCATGTGAGATGAATACAGTGGTGGGTTTGTTACAAATCAGGCTGCAGAGTTTGGGTGCAGAACTCAACTTTCCCAAAGTTCAGCCTTGGGTTTGTCAAGGATTTCCCTGCAGGGCTCCTTGTTTAACCCCCTCCCAAGGGAGCCTGCATCAGGAAARGATGGCAAGGGAGACACTGCTGCCAGGAAAAGTTCCTGTAATCCATAGGTTTTAAAATGGGAAGGAAGGGAAGGYCYGTTGTAAAGSCAGTAGATGATGAGCTTGGGTTTAATTATTATTCTCCTGTTTGAAATGGGTGGGAGCATAGGGAATAAAAACTGGACATTAACGGGGAAAATGGTAAGCTCTAGAAATGCTTCCTGAAATCCAGAGTAATCCCCTCCCAGTGCAGAAAAAACCCACAGGAGCCACCAAGACGCTCAGTCACATCGAACTTTATTTTAATCCCGTCAGAAAAGTTCAAGAGTTACACCAAAAAATACTTCAGTCTCTGCTACCTACTGACAAAAAATACACCACAAAATTATAAACTGTTCAGTGGTTTTGCAGGAGTTYGGGTTGTCGGTGGAGGGGGTGGTTTGTACATTTTGAGTGAGAAATGGATTTACAGGTGGAAAGGGAAGGGAGGAGGGGGAATCAGACGATGGCATTTGGCACTACAGTTTTAGCTACACTATACAGTTATTTCTCATGATGCCTGTAGGACTGAGGAGTTCTGCCCTCACACACTGCCCAATGTCTCTGACGTGGAGGACAAAACTGCCCAATGCGAGGGGAGAAGGGGCCAGTTCCTAATTTYCATCCCAGTCTAGCCAAAAATCTGAAAAAGCAGCTCAGTCCAAGGTGAACCTTGCCCTGCCCATGCACTCTGCTCCTGCTGCTCAGCTCTCCCTGCTCTCGCAGCTCTGAAAAATGAGAATCCTTGGGGGTTTCAAATGCCACCAGCCTGCACTGATCTCATGTGCCATTTGTGGGGAGAGGATGTGTTAGGACTCGATTAAACCTGGGGTCTGCTCTGGGTTTGCAAGCACAGATTTGATTTGTACCTCTCTCTGGTGACCTGGAATGACCAGAAATGCTGAGGGAGCTGAAGCAGGAACATCCCATTTCATGGGAAAATGAGAGGCTGCAAAGTTAGGGGCTCAATACTATCAGCACTTTTGAGAGGCTCCTCAAATCATAATGGCATTTCCTTCAGGRAAGAGTTCCCAAAGCATGAAGCCTCATGGAAATTGCCAAAGCTCAAGCAGGGAATCCATGCCAGAACAGAAGCAGAGCCCTGAGCTCCTGACTCAGTCCTGTGCTCAAAAGTTTATTCGGGGTTTCACTATGCCTCTGTGCCTGCTCCCATCCTGCACCATCTCCAACAGCAGCCTGGATTTCAGCCTCCCAGCCTGGCCAAAATCAGTGGTGGCTCATTAGGAATGCCAGGAACTGTCTGGATTTCCTTGGGCCACTGCACAGGGTTTGTATGGGCATGTGAGCATGTTTGGGGCAGGAGGGGATGCTTGTTTTTCTCTGTCAGTGAATGAACACTGACACTGGATTCAATCTGACAGCAAAATATCCCCCCTCTGGCAAACCAAACAACATCACAATATCTTTGTACCGTGTTCTCTCTACCCCTCTTGAAAGGATTCCAGTTCTTCCTTCTCTGCAYGTGGAGCTTCTGTCACAGCTTTCCAGCACTGACAAAACTTTGTGAGATTCTTTTTGCTGCTTTTATCCTCTCTGGCTGTTTACCTAATTWGCTTTTTTTGTTTTTTAATTTATTTTTCTAACAAATAGTTAAGCAATGATTTAAAAATATTTTTACATCGTAAGGTACAGTCAACATCAAACATGCCTTTGTACAAGAGCTCGACTCGGTTACAAATCAACGAGAACAATGCACGAAAAGAAATATCCATTAAGCTGATCCTGCACTCGGGTTGGATTTCCTCCCGCCCTGCGAGGGGCAGGGCACGCTCAGCAACGCGGTGTCGTCCCCCTGCCCGCCCAGCTCGTTCCCTTTAGTGACCTTCTGTCTTGGCRGCCTTGTTGTCGTGGCTGGCCGAGCCCGAGGGCAGCCAGGGGGACACGGCCCGGGAGCTGGTCTGCTTKGCCATGCTGTAGTGGCTGATGACGGTGTAGAACCTGCCCCGCGAGTTGGAATCCTGCGCCGAGTAGTAGGCGTCCAGCGAGGCGGGGATGCAGCGCTTGTGCTGGGGAGGGAAGCGAGAGAAGCAGAGTGATGCCATGAGCTCTCACAGGCTCCTGTGTGCACTCAGACTGCTGCAGCTGCCCCTCAGGGCCTGGCCTTCCCAACCTGCTGCTATTGGCATTCCGGGATGGGAACTGGGCTGTGGAATGAGGGTGACGCTGGTTCACTGTGGGACTGACACACGCAGAGAGCAGGGGCAGCTCTGCTYGTGTGCTGGGCCAAAGCAGAATTCATCCCTGACAGGCACAGGACAGGCAGARGCACAAAAAGCTGCTTTGTGCTGCTCTGTTAAAGAGTGTTAGCCTGACCTGTGGGATGAGCACCTAGTCAGGGATGGCAGGGGGCACAGCCCAATGGGTCAGCTCTTTTCACAAGTTCAGGTTTGGATCTGATGCTGAAATTCRTCATTTTGTTCTAACTTCTTTTATATCCTCGAATCCCAGAGTGGTTTGGGTTAATTGGAYCTTAAAGATCATCCAATTCCARTYCCTCACCATGGGCAKGGAYATCTTCCACCATCCCAGGGTGCTCCAAACCCCATCCAGCCTGGCCTTGGGYACTGCCAGGGATCCAGGGGCAGCCACAGCTTCTCTGGGCACCCTGTGCCAGGGCTCCCCACCCTCACAGGSAACAATTCCTTCCCAGTATCCCATCTAACCCTGATCTCTGTCAGTGTGAAGCCATTTCCCCTTTTCCTGTTACTCCAGGCCCTTGTAAAGARCCTCTCTCAATCCTTCKTGTAGCTCCTTCAGGTACTGGAARGCCAAGACAATTAAGTCATCCCAAAGCMTTTTCTTTTCCATTCTGAACAATCCAAATTCTCCCTTTTTATATAACCTAAGAGAATAATTCACAATGACTAATACACCAACATCTGACTCTATTTTCCAGCTCACAGATTATGTCCAGTGTGGTCAAGACTCCTGTGAGTTTATGAGTTTATTCACAGCGAGGACTCAGTGAATTATTTCGCAAACTATTTTTTTTTATCTCAGCAGACCAGACAAACAGTTCTGTGAATATTCAATATAAAGTCATTGGCAAGTGAGGTTTCAGCAATTGTTACATGGTTTTTTTCTTGATAGAGGAACAAGAGCACCTAAAAGTGAACTGCTTGGGCAAATGTGGATTTCTTTCACAAAGGACASGAGTGTCAGTACTCCAGCAGTTTGCTTTGCATTACAATGTATGCCAGTAAACCTCAGCTACATRGGAGTGTGGGAAGCAAATGCAGGATCCCAGCTGCAATAAATCCATTCACAAATATGAGGGATTGTTGCTGAACATCTGTCTGTAGTGTTCAGMAAATGCTAATCCCAACAATTACACTGTAACAGTAGCTGATGGAGGCAGATGCACGTCCACATTTCCCATAACACTTTTTCCATTTCAACACATCCCTGCCAAATGTTCTGTTTGGCCCAGTCAAAAAAAAAGCAGAGTGGGCTGTAACCATGCAGGCAATTAGAAGGCTGTCATTAGCTCAGGCAATTCATCCTTCTGAAGTTCCTTACCTTATAAACAAATCCATCTGGGCAACTGTGGTCGTAAGTGAAGGCTTTGTACACCACAAGGAACACTATGCAGGCAAGGAATGCGAGAGCCAGGCTTATGAGGATAGTGACCTAGAAAAGAGGGATAATGTTACTGTACATATGTTAAAATGGCATACGAGCAACCTCATAATTAAATGACTTATAGGAACAGACATCCTAACAGACTGCAGCCGTCACTCTACCGTGCAGTACTTAACTAAGCATGGTAATTGAGTGAGTGCTGGAGCCAATACCCTGCATTCCCACATCATCCCCATCCCCCAMGCGCTTTCAGCAGGGCACATTCCTCTCTTTAACCCCTTGCAAATGTATGGATTTTGCTTATGGATATTTGCATATTTGGTGTCCTTGGAGCCTTTGTGTTCCCGTGCTCTGAGCTCTGGCCCAGCAGCAGCCAGAATCCACACTCCAGGTGTGATGTGTGTGGATAAAGTGCCCTATGACCATGGCAGATCCCAGTTTCTGAGAGCAGAGGCAGGTGAGCAGGGAGGARGAATGAAGCCTCTGCAGCACACATCCCTTTGTGCCTGTTGGGTGATCCAGCCAGGATAAACTGGGCTTTGCAGGACACGGGGAATCCTGTTTCTCCAAGCTGAAAAAGCACAACATCCCAACCATTGACAAAGCCCAGCCTGGAAATCCCACAGCACGTTCAAGAGCAGATGTTGGTGTTGGAGGTACCAGACACAATTCCCTCTKTGGGGCTCAAATATTCCTCCTCATTCCCAGCAGGTCACTTTGATGCACATTTATGTTTCTCTCCAGCTTTTTCCAGGTCCCTCCTAAATATTTCATCCAACAGCAAGTTTTCTGTCCCTATTTCATGTCTGGACTAAGGCCCCCACCCTTGATTTTTGCTGTATTTCTTAAGGACTGAGTAAGGATCTGTAAAACACTCCCATCCTCTCCTTTCCCAAAGCTTCCTTGGTCCCATAATTCCACAAATGCTGCATAAATTTCTCTGGACTCTGCCTAAATAAGAGCTGTCTGCACCAGGATTTTGCAGGATCTATGCATCCTATCTACTTATAGAAGCTTTAACTTGCAGGAGAGTTGATGGTAGRAAGTGGGAAAACACTGAGAATTCCTACAGCAGAGTGGACAAACTTGTCAGGAAGAGCAGCTGCTAGTTATACCTCAGAATTATCAATACAATCATATTTTTACAACAATAATATTACGTAACATTATATCAATGCATATTACTAATTGCTTAATATTGAAATTTGCTCTGATTCTCCCCTTCAGTCAGAATAAAGGGAGAATAAAGTGTAAAAAGGTCAGACYGGGGCTAAGAGGCTTTGCCAAGGACAAACAGTTCACTGAAGGCCCGACCAGCCTTTTAACATTCCTGCTTGAATTACCCTCTCCTTGGGGCCTAATCTGCCTCAAAATGGGTCAGTGAAGCCAAGAGCAGCAGCAGAGGGAGCAGCATTTACTGCTGGATCTAAGAGAACACGTGTAGGAGAGTCCTGGAGTGCTGGAGAGGGGTCTGTCATAAAAGGAGTGAAGYTGTAACCAGTCTGACCAAAAAAATTTGGGATCCACCTCTTCTCAGTGCTCACAGGGGTGAATGGAAATACTTCACCTTTATGGCAGCCCTCTGGTTCCCAACCTGTCCCTTTTTGTGATGATAAAGAGAAAGGCTCAGCTCAATTCAAAGGAGAAGGAAATGGATTTGACATGATTTTTGTCCCCAAAAGAAGTTGTATTACACAGGACAAAAAAAAAAAGTCCCTTTAAAACAGTAAAAAGGGAGAGACTTCCTGGAAATATGCTCTGTTTTTTCCAACAGAAGATCTGGGAAAGACAGATCCCTCTTGATAAATGCCATCACAATCACGGTGACAGGTCAGTGTGGAGGAGCATTTTCCCCTGTAGAACAMATGTCCATCAACTCTTGCTCATTTAAAAGGGGAGCCTGTCAGGCCTGGAACTTCCTCTAGTTCCAAAGGGAACACCAYGGTGACAGTGACACAAGTGTCCTTTGAGGTCAATCTGAAGGCACTAGAGCAAAATGTGCATCTTGTTCTACCAAAGCCAATGCCCTGCCTTGAAATTCAGCAATAAGGAATGCTCAGCTCTCCAGTTTGGCAACTCTGTCCCAAATTAAATACACATTGAAAAAAAAACGTTGCATGAAACTCAGCCTTCAGAAGAAAGAACGAAGCTGTCTGAAGAGTGAATAAATGTATCTTCTTGTCTCTTTTTTTGCTGAATCCCACATGCATGTACAGCCTATGGAAATGACCATTAGAACTGCAATTTGAGGAAGGGTTCCTTTCCTCTTATCTGCCCACTGAGTCCCTAAAAATAACAAATTCCCCTCCGTTCTGTACTCTGCTCTGGCAAAGTGCTGACATCCAATTCATTATGGCACAGGAACAGGTCCCTGTGCTGAGCTCTCCCCTCCCTCCAGGGTGTAATTGAGCCCATTTTCACCCTCCTGCCTTTCCTGAACTTGCAGAATTACAGCGTGACAATATTACACCTGATGATAAATGGTGTAAAATTGCTCTGGATGAAATGATGTTAAAACYCAGAGGAAAGGGAGGAAAAATCCACCCCCGGATATTCTGCCATGCCAGAGCTAAGATCCACCTCCCCAACTATTCCAGAGCATACAAAACTTCATTAACATTCAAACACCAAAGAATCACAGAACTGCAATACCTAATAAACCTCCACTTTTTTTTTTTTATGATTAACACGAACCTTGGCAGTCTCTAAGCAATATAAACACTCACAGAGGGGAAATAAAATTTAGTGAGCAGATAAAACCTAGAAGTGCTGCAGGCATGAATCTGTCACATGTGACTGCTCGAGTGGGTGAAAGAAAGGGGGGGGATTTGCCTGCCCTCTCCTCAAAATCTCATATGATTCCCAAAGGTTCCCTTAAGAGGGAACAGAGAAGAGAGAACATTCATCACCACACCAAAAAAACTCCCCATCCTCCAAAAAATGTGGAAAGAGGCTTTTAACATCCAGGAAGGATGATGTCACACTCCTATCAACAGCAGCACACTTGCGGTGGTTCCTCCCTTTCCCCACAGATGAAGAACATTTTTTGCATTTTCACAGCAGCACAGATGAATAAAAAGGATCCATCCTCATCAGGCAACAGGACATCAGTCACTGCTAGGATTTGTGCCAGGGAGAGGATGGCTAATTGCAGTGGTGTTCCAGCTAACCTGCCTTTCATGCAGCCCATGGATGCATCCTTCCTGCTCTCTTTGATTTCATCAGCTGCCCAGAACTTCTTTTTTTCATCAAAAATTCCCTTTTTTCCTCCCTCACTAAGCAAAGCCTTATTTAAAAGGCAACCAGAGAACAATGGCACATCCAAACCGCAGGGCATTTATTTAACAGCTTTTTCCATGGCAAGGTTTTTACAGTTTTATTCCTTACTCCTATAATACACAATCACAGATGCTTTGGGTTGGAATGGACCTCAAAGCTCATCTCATTCCATGGGCAGGGACACCTTCCACCATCCCAGGGTGCTCCAGGCCCTGTCCAACCTGGCCTTGGACACTTCCAGGGATCCAGGGGCAGCCACAGCTTCTCTGGGCACTCTCCCCACCCTCACAGGGAACAATTTCTTCCCAACTCCAACCTAAATTTCCCCTCTTTCAGCRTGGGTGGCACTTCTTAGATATCAGGCGTGATTTTATTTCTAAAACTGGTAAATCAGTATTTGACCCTGGACACTTTTCTCCCTGCTTATATACGYTTAAAATAGGAGCAGAGCCAAGAAGATGCCATAACCAAGAAAAGCCTTGCTGCCTACAGGAAAACCAGCAGCACCCAGAGAAGAGATAAAGATCATTTACCATGGAAAAATTCCTACACAATTCTGCACCATTTTCCTGCTCTCTGCAGCTGTAATGTGAACTTKGGACCTCAGAAGCCTCTGCTCCTGCACTGCACTCTCAGCCTGCTCACARAATTCCAGTTTATCAGGAGAGGATCCCACTGCTGCTGCCATGTCTRGTTCTGGAAGATACCTTCAGTGTTGCTGGGTATTGGGAAATTTGGTGACCTTTAATAGCAATTCAGCTGAAGAAGTTCTCTTGGTTTTAATCTTCTCTTTGTAGAAGAAGAAAGCAAAGAACAAGGCAAAATTTGTTATGAAMAAAATTGGCAGAAATTCTGTCAAGGTTATTTCAGAGGAGAGCTTAAGAGTTGCGCTTGGAGAGGCAGCAAAGCTTTTCYTATGGTTTATGGCAATTCCATTACACCTGGAAACCAATCAATTCCCTGACAACCCAGCTAACTCGCAGAAAAAAAATCACAAAATCATCTRAGGGCATCCAAATACATCCAGACACTCATGAATCCATTATAAGGATTTCTGCTTGACAATGAAAAATTCAGGAGGRCAATCTTTTTCCCCTTCATCCCGTAACTTGTTCCAGGTGATAATTAGATGGAAGACTGACACTATCACATCTCCACATGGAAGGTACAGTTAAAGGGAAAAAAATAGGAGCCTCTGGAGCCAGCTCTCCTGGCTGCCTCCCACCTGTATTCCAGGATGAAATCCAAGTGCAAACCACCCAAATCCAGGTTGTTATTGCAAGAAAGCTCATGTGTGCTGTCAAGGAGGGAGCCACAGGCTGACAGGASACTCAGATGGATCAAGCAGGGGATGAGGCACACCCCAAATACACCCCAGGAAGAGCTGCCCCACTGTTCAACCTCTGTCAAAGAACTGGTGTGGTGCCTTGCCCAGCACCCACACACCCTGACAGCAAAAATGATCTGACTGCACTTCTTCAAAAATGACATTTCGCTCCCCACTGTTAAAAATATTTTTGTAATAAGTTGCTGATTTTGCTGATCTGCTGGCAACAGCTTCGCCTCCRAAATTTTGAAAGGCTAACTGCAAAAAAAGTGACACAATTGGGTCTTCAGATTTGCTTAGTACTGTTCAGTAAGATGTAGGATTTGTCCTTGATTATTACAGCACAGCTTTCTTCCAGATGGTGTCTAGATTCTTAAGCATTGTTTAGGAGATGCATTGTAAGAGGGAAATGTCCTTAGTCATGTATCTACATTTTCAGAGC